ACTAACGCTCGCAGCGCCGCGACTAACGCTCGCAACGCCACATGCTGTCGCGCACTATTATCCTCTGACAAAGTAGATGTAAACTACATAGCAACATCCATTTTTCTTAAGGTACATCATTATACATATGTACATTATATTAGGTGTTGGAATTAATTCGTAGCGTTTTTAATGAAAGAATGTTATTTATTTCACATGAGCATTAAAAAATACATTAATGAAAGTACTTCCCATCACTTGTAAAACGCTACGAATTAATTCCAACACCTAATATGAACCAAATATCGATTTATTATCTCCAGCCTTGAAAAGTGGATGTTGTTTACATCCGCTTTGTTAGAGGGCAGTAATGCGCGACAGTATTTTGTAGTTACAGGTTTTGGGCTGTCGCGTCTTCTCTCAGGTTTCTCTCTGGAGTTGGACTATGTATATATAAAACAAGAATATGTCGTGTTGAAAAATAAAAATTATTATTAATTTTTTTCTTCATAGTTGTCGAATTCTCAACCATCAACAATAGCATCGACGTAGCCTACAATTGACATAACATTCCGTTGATTCTGTATTTCTATACCATTCCGGCCATAATTCCGGTGGTTTCGATGCAATAGAGAAACTTCTGGCTCCGATACACCAGCGCGATGTTCGTCGCGCGCGACACATGATATCCAATGAGAATATACTTTTAGAATGAAATATATAATATATTGATAAAGCTGTACTTATTAGATATCGCATGTCGCGCGCGACGAACATTGCACTGGTGTGCTAGAAGCACAGAACAGAATGCTAATGCTCATTTCTAATAAGAAATCCGTTCGGTTGTTCATTCCGTATACATGGGACGGTATCCTAAGGGCCTGCGCACAATAGGGGAATAGGAATAAATATTAGATATTAGGAATAGAGATTAAGGGGATTAAGCACAGAAAATCGTTTCATCCTTGTAGGCAAACAAAAAGATGTAATGATTCACTATGTTACACTATGTCTGACTGTGTCCTTGCTAGAAAGCACCTTAAATGTAACACATAATGTGTTTAAATGAGATATAAAATATAAATTTATCGTACATCTCATACTATCTCATACAAATATCTCTTTATCTTCACGAAGGATGTCGTATCATATTATGTGTACAACTTTGCTTCCGCCGTTTTCCTATAGATGGCTTTAGCGGTAAGTGGTGATCGAAATAAATAGATCATACAACAAACTTGGGCATCTGTCAACATAATCCCATAGAAACATTAATCGATTTGTGTCTGCATCATAAAGTTATTCTCGATTGAAAATGTCAGTTTACGAGCCAAATTTTTCGTCATTTGCGGGAGTTTTTAATTTTCTGCTTCAATATGAAGAAATCTGCGGCTGAGACTCATCGAATGCTCTCAAATACTCATGGTGAGACTGCTATTAGTGAAAGAACGTGTCGTGAGTGATTTCAACGCTTCAAGAACGGTAATTTTGATGTCGAAGACCGGTATAGCGGTGGAAGAGAGAAGATTTTCGAAGATGCAGAATTGGAGGCATTACTTGATTAAGACTCGTGTCAAAATCAAGAAGAATTGGCACGATCATTGGGAGTGACTCAACAAGCCATTTCAAAACGCCAAAGTCATGGGAATGATTCAGAAGCAAGGAAATTGGGTGCCGTACGAGTTGAAGCCGAGAGATGTTGAACGGCGTTTGTTTGCTTGTGAACAGCTACTTGAAAGGCAAAGACGGAAGAGATTTCTGCATCGCATTGTGACTGGGGACGAAAAATGGGTTCATTACGATAACCCCAAGCGCAGACAATCATAGAGAGTTCCCAGCCATGCATCCACGTCGACGGCCAAACCAAATATTCATGACTCCAAAGTCATGCTCTGTGGGATCAGCTCAGCGTAGTGTATTATGAGCTGTTAAAACCGACTGAAACAATCACAGGCGATCAGTATCGAATGCAATTGATGCATTTGAGCTGAGTATTGAAAGACAAACGGCTGCAATACAACGAAAGACACAATAAAGTGATTTTGCAGCATGAAAATGCTCGACCCCATGTTGCGAAAGTGGTTAAGACATACTTGGAAACATTGAAATGGAAAGTCCTACCCTATCCGCCGTATTCTCCAGACGTTGCACCCTCTGACTATCACTTGTTCTGATTAATGGCACACGGCTGATTAGCACTTCCGGTCTTATGAAGAAGTAAAAAATTGGATCGATTCGTGGATCGTCTCAAAAGATGATCAGTTTTTTCGATGCGGGATTCGTACGCTGCCCGAAAGATGGGAGAAAGTAGTGGCCAGCGATGGACAATACTTTGAATCATAAATGTATAACCACTTTTTTTACAATAAAGCTTCGAATTTCGGAAAAAAACGGCGGAAGCAAAGTTATACACCTAATAAAATAAGTAAATAAATAATTGCAAAAAGAGAACAAGAATAAATAAATTAGAAGTTGTGCATGCAAAATTTGAAGATATTGTATTTGCCGATCTGTTCATGTAGACATCATAATCTCACTGTATTTAATCTATAAGTATTAATAATTATGAAAGATACTACTGAAAAAATCTCTCTTATTATTGTGTATAACTTTACAAATAAGCATTTCAAGTATGTTAAGAAAAAAAATAAAACATAAGAAATGGAGAAATAGACGTTGGTGGATTCCTATCAACTTACGAAGGGATATTTTTGATAACTGTTCAGTTCTAATTCAGTTCGAAAAACTTTAAAAAAATAAAAATCTCTTTTTCCACTATACTAGAATATCATTAGAAGTGTACAATAGTATTTTGAAAAAGATATTGTTGTAGACCAATAATGAAAACTAGTTTAAGAATGCTACCAACTCCAGAACAGCGTTTATTAATAATGTTATGGTATTTGTTGCTTAATTAAATCGTAATACAATCTTCAATGAATATAAATAACAAAATATCTGTATAACACAAATATATGCTTTATCTAACAATAATACTGTTTCATAACAATGTTATATCCATGTAACGCAAATAAAATATTTCATCTTACGATATTGTTTCGTAACAATATGTTTATGTAACGCAAATAAAATATAAATATATCTTTCTGATAATAATATTATTTCATAAAACTATTATGTCTAATTAACGCAAATAAAATACATACTCATCTAACGATAATACTGTTTCATAATAATATGTATACCTATATAACGCAAATAACATATATGCTTTTCTTAATCTGATAATAATACTGTTTCATATAGTTTTATAACATCTATATACGCAAATTATATATGAAGTTTAATAATGATACTTATAAATGATAATGATAAATATCACATAAAATATTTAGTTTATTGTATGCTTCACGATAATATTAACATTAGTTTTGATTTTTGTGATACATTAGTATTTAACTTTTTCGTAATTCATAATTCAAAATCATGTTTGTTAAAGCTTCATCTCTATCATTTACATTATCATTTGAAAACATTTGAGCTGCCATTGCAGATTGAGATACTAAACTAAGTGATTTTTCCAGCACATCAAGCGATTCTTGAGAGTTCTTATTTTTCTGAAATGATAAAGTTGATTGTTGAGATGATGGTGTTGAGATTAAGAACTTGTAGGAAATATAAGAATATTTACTGAATCAGATCCTGTGGGTGATGTCGGCATCGTAAACATAAATGATTCAATTTGCATATCATCCTTGACATAATAAATTAAAAATCAAAATTAATATCTAAATATTTAAAAAATTAATAAAAATATTTTCAAATCATAAAATTTAATCATTACCTTATTGGTTATATCACTTAGAGGCGATCTTGTCCATAATCTTTTTCTGCAGTCTCTATATTACATAAATCCAATATTAAAAAAAAATGAACTTATCTGTAGCAAATCTAAATTTGATTTAGAGATTAAATTTAACTTAGAGACTTGCCAGTTTTTTAATTAAGATTTAATTATTAAAATTTCACTCTATCAATCAAATCAATATATTGGGTTATTTAAAAAATTTTTCAGTATTTTCTATAAAATGAAATAAAAACTAAATAAAAGTAATTACAATAGGCTTTTACAATATATTATAATATATTGTTTTACAATTCAATTACGAAAAAAGGTAATAACACGCAACAAAAATCGTGGATGTTAATAAAAAAAAAACATTTAAACAATAATTGCAGTAAAATTATGAATATTTGTTATGAATTTGACTCTATTACCTAACTTCTCGTAATCTTTAAATTAAAAAAAAAATTTCACACTCAATATATGTTTAATATATAACTTATCTACAAATATACTATAATAAGGGGTCTACAATTAAAAATTATAGTCTTAAGTAGAAAATTAACCAATCACAATCGAATATGAGATGAAAAATCAACTAAATGATTGATCAATTTTCTAAGACTTAAGACTCTATGGCTCTTGCGACTTCGGTCTACTATAGTAGACCTCGCATAATGATTAAAAAGTATACTAATATACTAGTAAAGTATACTAATATACTATAATAATTTCAAGACATTATTGTAATTATGTCAAGGCTCTGTAAGTTAAATTGTAAATAAAGAATGTATGGACTCTATCAAAAATAAGACAATGAATTTAAATCAGGCTAATGAGAATAATGGCGTGGTTAACAAGCGCAACAAATTAATCATATCTATATTAAACTATACTACATCAAAAAATTTTTTATTATAATTATTTGAATATTACGATTAATTTTGGAGTCTTCATCAGTAAATATTACACGTCTTAATTTGTTATGCTCCACCAAAAAATAATTACTTCTAGATTGTCAAATTCAAAGTGAAAGAAATCCTTTGAGAAATAATTGTAATACGAGATAACACTGCCAAAACGAACATGTACATTATAACACAAACAAAAAAACATGACAAAAAAATTAAAAAAACTTTTTAATGCAAAAGATAAATAAATATCTATATTGAGCTGATAAAGCTCTAAAATAAGTCGAAACGTTCAAACAATTATAATAAAAAAATGTTTGATGTAGTATAGTTTATAATATATTATTTATATATAATTTTCGAGTTTGTTAACATTCTCATTTGCCATGTTTAAATTTAAATATTTATTGCGTGTTTCTCACTGACTTACATTTAACTGTAAACTGGGTTCATTTACAGTTCTGTTGATGTTGGTATATCTTCTCGTCTAAAATAATAATGATAATGATGATATAATAATATAGTAACTTAAATATTATAATAATATTTATATTAATATTATTATAAATACTATAATAATATTAAATACTATAATAATATAGTAACTTAAAAAAAAATACGAGTTGCCTATTTTTTTAAGTAGCTAAATCTAATGATAATATTATAGTTAATTACACGAATATTTTAGTTGTACATTGGGTACTTTTCAGTAATATCACAAGCAACACTATGTAACAGTATACGATCCAGTGCTTTCCAACTGACACAAGTAGTTGAACTCAGCTTAACTGTTACGATTGTGTCAACTTGTGTCGTAAGTTTGGAAAGTACCGGATTGTACATTCTTTTGTTAGTGTCGCTTGTGTACATACATTATTGAAAAGCATCTATATTGTCTCTTAATCAAGTTTTATTTTTCTTGTATAAAAAAGATGAAATGTGGATTTATGAAATAGGCAAATTTTGCAAATAGCAACTCATATATCAATCAAAATAAAACTATTAACAAATTTACAATAGCAAATAATTTTAGCAAGAAAAAATGGAATATTACTTCTTCTATGTAAAAATGAAATATCACTTCTTTTGTGTACATGCTCGTCTATAAATGATATTTGCTCATATAATTCCCATGGTCTCTTCTTTCTAGGTGCAGAACCTTGGTATATTTTCTTGGTTTTGTCTTTCCTTTGAACAATACTCATAATCTATATCATTGGCTTATACATTTCTTTACTGAAAAGTGTAGATATAGTATATAATATATTAGCATATTAGCAGCGTTTATAAAACAAATTATAACCTCTAATATACGATAAATTCTCACATTTTAATATAATGTAAAAGTTCAAAGCAAACAATATTTTATTTTAACATATACAAATATTTATTTTTTTAATAAAAAGACGTTTACCGAGTAGATGCATTACAGTAGCTATTTCTTGCCAAGAATTGTCACATTTATTTACATCTTTGTAATCTTTATTTTCTTTGTTCCATAACATTCCATAAATGTGTATGATCTTATTAAGTCAATTAATAACACCTCTCCTTCTTTACAGCTGACATTCATAGTCGATTCTTATTTCAAAACCGTCTTAAATAATATTATATCTTAAGACACTAATGCGGCCTTCTAATTGGTTCGTGACTTCTTAAGACCGTATCACGTATTTAAGACGGTCTTGAATATAAGATCTAATTATGAATATTGGCCTACATTCATCTACATTTTCATTTTCAACATCATTTTGAATATTAGAATTAAGCCCTGCGCACAATAGAAGGAATAAAGAATTAGAAATAAAAAATAATTTCAACTTTATCAGAAACTTTATCAGAAACCGTGTATTCCGATGTATCCAATTTCTGATAGGTTAAAATAGTTGATTCTTTATTCCTAATTCCTTATTGTTTTTATTGTGCGCAGGCCTTATTTTCTGTTACGGAATTCTATGGTCGGCCATGTTTACGACTATTAAATTGATATCTTATTTCTAATATTTCATTCTTTTTATTTCTAATTCCTTTATTGAGTGTTGGTTCATTCAATCCATTGGTTTTAAAACAAAATAATTCCTAATTCCTATTCCTAATATCTAATATTTATTCCTATTCCCTTATTATGCGTAGGCCCTAAGGCTGCATTTTTTATTCGAGCGTCAGCATGAAAATGCAGCCGTAATTCTTTTTGCCCGGTTCTGAACGTTTGTAGTACTATGAGTTGCACATAGAGGTGCTAATTGTTCCTGTTCTTGACTGAAACAGCGATTTCTAGATGGCGTGTACGTTTGTTTATAATTACTTGTGCAAATAATCTAAATGCTGTCAAAATCGAGACAAATTTTCCTGAAAAGACAATATTAAAGTTGAAGAGAATATTTTCGCGAATATGGATAAACTATCGAAGCCGCAAATAATTTGCCACATTGAGAAATCGGTAGACTATTCGCTGTTTGATGCAAAGTGGATACCATGTAGCGCAAAATTCGTGGTTATGGGTTCTCGCCCTCGTGGTACCGGTATTATACAGATTTACGAGGTGTCTAATGGCGAATTAAAGCTTGTCAAGAATATAGAAAGATCTAATCAAATAAAGTGTGGAACATTCAAAGCGTCCAATCTTCGTGATAGATACTTGGCTACTGGTGATTTCAAGGTTTCTCTTATTTTAACATATCTGTTGTGTTCAGTGTTCAGGAAGATTTTAATTGCGACATTTGGTTCATAAATTACAAAAGTTACTTTTACAGGGTAAATTAAATATTTATAATTTAGAAGATCCTTCAATACCCGTTTATTCGACTAAAGCTCACACACAGATTATAAATGCCATTGATGGAATAGGAGGTGCTAGTATAGGATGTGGAGCACCAGAATTAGTAACTGGATCTAGAGATGGAAGTGTAAAAGTATGGGATCCTAGGCAAAAGAATCAACCAGTTGCTGTTATGGAACCTAAGGAAGGAGAAAGTCGACGGGACTGTTGGTCAGTTGGATTCGGCAATTCTTACAATTCCGAAGAAAGAATAGTAGCAGCGGGATATGATAACGGAGATGTTAAAATGTTCGACTTAAGGGCCATGTCACTGAGATGGGAAAGTAACTTGAAAAATGGAGTTTGCGGTCTTGAATTCGATAGAAAGGACATTCCCATGAATAAGCTAGTTGTTACTACACTAGAATCCAAATTTTATCTTTTTGACTTGAAGACTCAGCATCCTAAAAAAGGTTTTGCTTATCTTGTTGAAAAGGTATTATTTTGAATAAAAATTAATATTTATTTTTCTCTGTGAATATGTATTTATAATCTATCAACTGCATGATTTTAGGCACACAAATCAACGGTATGGCTAGTTAAGCATTTGCCGCAGAATCGTGAATTATTTGCGACATGTGGCGGTGGGGGAACAATTTGTCTTTGGAAATAGTAAATATATATGTTCATATTTTTATAACTACACAATTACATTACATCCTGTAAAAATGTTTGAAAATCCATTGTTTATTGCTTTACAGTAATTATCCAGAGAAAAGAAAAGTTACGGATGCTGACGGTATTGAACAAGGAATTATGGGCAATATTAGTTTGCTCCAGAACTGTACGCTCTCGTCGCAACCTATTAGTTCTTTGGATTGGAGCCCGGACAAACAAGGACTTGCTATTTGCACATCGTTTGATCAATGCTTACGTGTTATTATCACTACGAAACTGAATACATATTAATTAAACAACGCAAAAAAGTACATGTAAATAAGCCTATACCAGTGGAAACAAAAAGTTGACATTTTAACTTTGTACGCTTAAGATAACTATTAAATAAAGAGTTTTTGTTTTATATGCAACTTTTTTTATGATGAAATAGTCAAATAATAATAGGAATAACGCACTTTTTAAATTCGTTCGTTAAATGGCATCGATCTATCATGATTGAATTTGAGACATCGATTTTTCATTTGCCAACTGCAAAGTACATTATGCAATGGTGAGCAGAGACGAGAGCGAATTATGTGTCATTGGACCAATCTATTTAGGATCGGACCCTTATTAAGCATCGGCCATTTTGCACACGAACGTGAATGTTACGCAATATCCCAAGCGATGTCCGCCATTTGAGATGCATTCGACCCACGCGCTGTTGCTTGCACCTCGATTCCAACGACAACGCGTGAGAGCATAGCATTGCAACCGCGCACGCAAGGTCAGGAATACCTCGGCTTTAATTACATAAATTAGACGTCGCGTCGCCAAGTCCATCTCTCACTCGCTCGTCATAGTATATATTTATACTGTTAGATCCTTCGCTCTTTCGCGTCCAATACAAGTCTGAATGTATATCTTGTTCCATCATTTTGATTGTACAAATTAGGAGTGCAAAGAAATTTAATTAAGATAATCGCACATAATTTACATCATCATCCATTTTTATTCAAAACATTTTTCTTTTCATTTTTTATAAAATATTTTCTGACAAGACATATTTTTTTCTATTTCTTATTGTAATATGATAGTACTAATACTGCGGATATTTTCAAGGGACAATTTCGCACCTTTCGTGTGTGTGTGTGTGTGTGTGTGTGTGTGTGTGTGTGTGCGCGCGCGCACATGTGTGTGGATATATATATATAACAAATTTCTTAATTTGCTCAACACATTGCGGTCGATTTGAACGCTCACGTGCTTTAATAAGCGCTTGTAATCATCCTTCTTTATCATTTATTAGGTGTAATAAATAAAAATGAAAGTACTCAAAAGTGCTGAAAGCGTCCAAATCGACCACAGCCAATGTATTCATCGAAAGTTAAAAAAGAATCGTATCAAAGGAATAGATTGCTATTTTGAGAGTACAAGTATCGGTTGGCTAATTACATAGCGGAATATACATATGTGTATTTACAGGAGCGTGTATATACGAACACGTGAACAAATAGAGAAGTATATGCAATACCTGATTCCTATTTTTGTTTCTTGATGGCGCACTTGGTGATGCACTTTGCGACGAATTGGTCAACATCCAAGATTTGCACTGCTTTTCCTGTATAATCCCAACTGTATAATCAGCACGATTTAATCTTTAATGGAAAGATCAATTTTTAGAAACTTTGATTCTTTATTAAATATCAAAATAATATTAAATATTAGATGTCGATAAGTACTTTTAAATGATTTTTCATTAATTGTATTAATCTTTCGAATTTTTAAGAGAAATTAATTTCTATTCAAAAAAATAATAATTCAATTCATAACTTAAAACAATCTTTCCATTTAAAAATTATTCTATTAAACAAATTATATTATTACTGTTCCACATTTAACAAATGATGATAACTACAACACACAGGGATCGGTGAATAAAAAAGATTCCAACATGAAAAATATTTATATTTTCCTTAATTTTCTAATAGTAATTTTGGCAGTAGTAAACTTACTTAATATACATATATAACTTATTGTTAGTTAGAACATAAAATTATATATGAACCTGTCAGAGTAAATCATTAAAATAAAAGAAAATTTAATATAAATACAGTAAGTCTATATGATTGTAAAAAAAAAATGATAAATCAGTTGGTATATTAATATTACAAATTAGAATATAAAATTCAAATTTCTCCACTAATAGATATATTTATTGAAAGAATTTCTAAATGATAAAAAATTGACGATAGAAATATCAAAATGCAAGTTTCTTCATTAATAGGTACATGTGTTGATCTATCTCGAAGCCGTGCAGATTATTCGCATCACCTTGTAACCTCATCAGCAGACCTCCAAAAGATACATAGGCAGATCTGGAAATAAAATAAAAAACTGGTCAATTCAAGTTTGCATTGTCCTACATAAATATTCGAAATGCCTATCACCTTTGGCATTTGATGCATATTATGATTGTTCAGATACGATTTAATATTATGATTTCAAAATATGCCTAAAATTGAGCTTGTATTTATACAGCTTGTTTTTTTTTCTTATTTAGGCTCTGCTAATTTGAAGTATTGAGAAACACACAGTTAAAAAACATCCTGTATAATACGCAAAACGGAAAGATTTTTAAATAACAATTTTAACTTTGAATTATTAGTATGATATTGTTCTGACGCCATTTTAAATTTTCGGCGGTTTTGAACAATTTTCATATCCAAGAAATTTTCAAGATCGTCCACAATGCTTCTCCTGGCAGCAGATTTGCGACCGTCATAATTGCAGTGCCGATAGCGGTCGTGATATATAGATTGACCACACAACCAGCTAACCACACTGCCAACATGCCAATCGCTATACATATGTTTGTGCATATATATATATATATATATAGGTGATAATTTTCTTCCTCGTATCGTTGTCTTATTTTATCTTTCTTTTTGAACGCATACGTATCAAACATCAAGACTTTACACAGCAATATTAATGTTTTAGTACATTAATGATAATAAATGATACAAGTCGTTAAAAAATGTATTCAGGGTTTGCCATAGAAAATGAACTTTAAAATTCCCTGATTTTTCCAGATTTTTTAAATAAAAATGGGAAATTTCCATAATATAAAATATGTAAAAATTTTAACATTATAAAAATGTAAAAAATTTTAATATTTATCAAGAATTGTAAGAAAACTAGCTTAGATTATTAAAAACACAAAAGAAACTTAGCACAGCATAATAAAATTTTGAGGACAAATTCAAGTCAACAAAAAATAAATTAGTATTAGAAAAAAGAATGCAATTATGATAAAGAAAGGATGATCAAATAAAATTACTGAATAAAATATAAATTATAATTTTAATTATTTTTTTTAAATTGTTTAAAATATACGAGTTTTAAAAGTATTTGACTATAAACGTTAGATATAATATTCAAAAAATTATAAAACTTATCTGGAATAGAAGCAATTTAAGGGAATTGTGAGCAAAGTTCAAAATTCCAGTCTTTTTTACATTTTCCCCTGACTTTTCCCGGTTTTCTAGATCTGTGGCAACCCTGGTATTAAAAATCAAATAAAATGCGGATAACAATTTATACACAAACTTGAGATTAAAAATTGATGTAATGAAACAATGCATAAATTTATATAAACAAAGCTCCAAAAATGCATAAATTTATGTAGAGCTAAACGCCAAAATTATCGACTGCGTAGACTTTCGCAATAAGACTTTAGCACTAAACCTTTTTCATTATTTGACAATCAGTTAATTACTTATATAAATATTATAACATCTTAAAATTAAACATTCTATTCCTTAAAAGCATACATTTCCAAAAAATAACATGTTAACTTCAATATTATAGAAGTAATATTAGGTGTTGGAATTAATTCGTAGCGTTTTTTAATGAAAGAATGTTATTTATTTCACATGAGCATTAAAAAATACATTAATGAAAGTACTTCCCATCACTTGTAAAACGCTACGAATTAATTCCAACACCTAATAGAATTCTTAAATTACGCATTAACATTAAGAATGTTTTATATATATATTAAAACGATAACAAAATTATTAAAACATTACAGACCATTCCAAATCAAATTTAAAAATAATACAATAAATTTGATGAAGATTTATCTGGAAATTATCATAAAGTATTTAATAAATATTTTTTAAATTGGTGTTCTAATAAAAATATATAGAAATGTATTATAAAATAAATCATAAAAATCTCAATTTGTACATTTAATATAAGTACATTATGTATTCAAGATTATTTACATTACGATGCATGAACTAATTATCCAGTAAATAAACAAAATATTAATCTTTTTTTATATCTTTGTAACTATAATCAGTGAATCGCAATGAAACTTTGCATAAATTATTTTGATTATTTAAAATACTTATTAAAAAAATATAAATTTTTCATCATTTTTTTTTAATTTTCATTTTTAATAATAAAAATAATAACAAATAAAATAAATAAACTACAAAAATGTTATTAAACAAAAATATAATCTTATTCACACAACTTTCATATGTGTATAGTTTTCTAACATTCAAAAAATTAAATTTCTAAGTATGTTTATTATTTACACTTCAAGTGTAAATAATAAACATATTTAGAAATTTAATTTTTTTTGCAGGGACTGTACGTGTGGTATATCTTTGAATGTCCGATTGTACATTTAAAAATGTATTAGACATACAGTTATATACAGTCCCTGTGTGCAAAGAAAATTAAATTTAGAAATATATTTCATATTTACACTTCAAATAAACTATAATGAAAGTTGTGTGAATAAGATTATAGATAAGATATTTTTGTCTTTTGTAATACATTTTTGTAGTTTATTTTGTTATTATTTTTATTATTAAAAATTAAAATTTAAAAAATGATTAAAAAATTTATATATAATATTTCTTTTACAAGCACTTTAAATATTCAAAATAATTTATGCAAAGTTTCATTGCAATTCACTAATCAGTTACAAAGATACAGAATAAATAAATATTTTGTTTATTTACTGGTTCATACATCGCAATATAATTCTACGTAAATAATCTTGAATACATAATGTACTTATATTTAAAAGTTGAGATTTTTATCATTCATTTTATAATACATTTCTATATATTTATATCACACAGAGCACATATTGAGAAACATTATTATTTATTAAAATAACTTATGATCCAGATAGTAAACCAAATTTGTCGTATTATTTTTAAACGTGAATTACAATGATTTGTAATTTTTTAATAATTTCGTTATCATTTATGTTTGAAAATATGTATAAAACATCCTTAATTGTATATCATCTCGATAACGAAATGCATTCTACTCATCATGCTAATGTACATACATTATATACAAAACACACATGAAATCCAAATTTTACGAGACTTGTGAAAGACGGAAAGGAAAATGTGCGAAAATACCGAAGAGAATTGTGAAAGGAAAATGTGCGAAAATACCGAAGAGAATTCTCGCGGCAAATATTTTACGAGATTTCCCTATCGATTGACCTTGCCTTTGTCGAATCTCTGACTCTAAGAAGCACTCCACTTCTGTAAGAGACAATTATTTTTAGCCAAGTTCGAGCTTCCACTTACACTCTAGCTTCCTCTCTTCTTTTCATCGCGTATAAAAAGCTTTGAAAGATACTGTGTATTACTAATTCAACAGATAACTTAACCAAATATACCCATTACAAATGCAACAGTAATTATAATAATTTATCTATAAAAATTATGCCTGCTTGTTAATACTTTAAAATGATAAAGGCGTAATACTTTTTAAGATATTTAATTTCTTTTTTATTAGATTTTAAATTTATGTACAAGTATACATGAATATGCTTCTAAAGTGATCATTCTTTGTTTTATCTACATCCCATATATTCGAAGCAATTATTTCTACTACTTCTTTTTCTGATATTTTCGATTAAATATTTACTCTTCCTCTCTCTCTCTCTCTCTCTCTCTCTCTCTCTCTAAATTAAAAAAATGTTTTACTTCAATAAGTAATTTGATAACTCATTAAGCGATTTAACTTCTTTTGTATCTGCAAACCTATATATATATATATATATATATATATAATCATATATGACAGATAAAATGAATGAAAATAGATGAAGTGAAAAAAATAAGATTTCTCGACTAAAATTATTAAACTTCATTTGCAAATAAATAATTTAATTTAAAATTAATATTTAGTCTAATGTGGGGAGAGAGGGGATTATATTAATTATTTTATGTAATGTTTACGAAGATGATTTGATACGTTATTAAATAATCTTAAAAAACTGCAAATATCTTTTACTTTGCATCTGGATACTAGAAGAATATTAAAGGAAAAAAGAATTTTCGAAACTATATAATTTATTTCTACTGATAAATTAATCACTAATAAAGGCGCTGGTGAAATTAAATGAAAAACGCATCAGATGATTTTTATTGCCATTTGATACACAACAATATATGATCCTATGTATAAGCAATGCGTATTTATGTGTGCACATAAATTGTTACGTTTATGTGAAGCCTTGTTACATGAAACAAGTATGCAACAAGCATTCTTCCATTAACAAATCTCTCGTCACGAATGATCAAACGCCATTACGCCATTTATTCATACGAAACTGTCATTGCCGATGATATCGCATTAAAAAAAAAGAACATTTATCAATGCAACATGCATTCGTTCGCTTAATTGCGCATCCCTTCCTCCAAAAGATATTATATCTCGGAATAAAAAGGAGGGAACAAGATGAAAAGCGGCAATAACAGTTTTTTTTTTAACAGGATATATTTATTGCAGTTCATACACATTGTGTAGTTTCGAATAGATTTTTTATAAAATTATTTTCTTTATTGGTTGAATCGTACCGACCGATTTCATGGAAATTCGCTACCCAAAGATTACACACTCACTATCCAAAGATTAAATTTACACAGTCAACAAATGTCAATTACAATATTATCTATCATTAATTATTGTTTCAGATAAATTTGATATTTCTGAATAAAAATTACCAATACGATAACACAATATTTTATACGTGTAAATTAATTTTAAATTAATATTTTTCTCCAAAAAAATACTTGTGAATAACATTCTTAATATTATAACGCATATTTCGCTGTTATAATTGTAATAATTATACTTGAATCACAGAGAAAAACTTGACAAAGAATAATGGATGTAAAATTTCCTATGCCCTACTTACAGAGTTACAGAAAGATAATTTGTACGAATTCTATCATAATCGATATGATATCGATTTTGTCATTAAAAGAGTAATATTTAAACCAGAGACGAAAAATATAATTAAATTGCGAAACATAAAAAATTGCTA